TATCGCCGCGTAAGAGTGGAGACATGTGCCGTTCACAGCGAAGCAGTGGCAGTTCAAACACACAGCGTGATGATGCGAAGCAGGTGGCAGATCAATTGCCCGGTCCGGAGTAAGGCGCCACCGCCGTGTGGCCTCTGGCCCCAGCAGCACCAGCACCCACCGCGCGACCTCGTCGCAAAGCGCAGCCAGATCACCTGCGCCAGTAGGCAGCACTCCTTCCAGCAACAAAGAGCGCACATTGACCATCGCCTCTGCAGTGGCCTTCGTCTTGAGTTTCTCAATGGCATCTTCTGAGTACTCTTGCCGGAATATGTACGAAACAGTGCCATCCTCCCCCGCACTCTTCCGGAAAAACTCCGGGAGCGCGAGCGCCCTCTTGGCCTCCTGCTGTAAATACTTAGACCAATGACATGATGGGATATCATACAATGGCTCCGTCTTCAACTTCGCCTGGGCCGCTCGGCTCTTGCAAAGCCGCTGCAAAGCAGAGACAACATCTCCAGCGGGTATCCTGGTGTGCGTCAGGCTAGGCCGCAGCCGACTGCCATGCCACCGTTCTTGAGCTTGAGTGCCCGAGTAACTTCCTGGCACCGCCAAAGCGCCACACCACCCAGCAGCCCACTTGTCTTCGCTATCCTTGTGCATGTAAAAGCGCTGAAAGCTCTCTTTGCATGCACCTTCTCCGCGCTCGTCCATCCACTGGTAGATGCGATCCCACATTTCACTGAAAGCGGGCCTGGGTAAGTGGCGGGAAGCCAACACAGCCTTCTGAACCAGTGGCAAAAGGCCCTTGTCCCGTAAGTTCTTCTCTGCCGTCTTCCATGCTCCAGTCCGCCAGACCACTGACCGCTCGTCTTGAGCCTGCCACAGTTTGCGAAAACTGCGGTTTGGGATTAGCCAGCTTGACAAAAAACGTAGCCACAAAGCACGTCGTTTCAAGGTCGCAAAGGGCCTTGCCCCCCTGAATAATATGAACGAACCCCTCGTGCATTTGTCACGGCCCCTTCCCCAAGCCGCAAAAAAAAACCAACGAATCAAATTTCAAGCCAAATTGCCAGGCAAGCCCTTTTGGTATGAGTCAGCTCTCTCCACTACAAAGCCCCGCTGTGTCCTACTAGAATCCAAACTGAGACAGAGCCACATTATATAGAGGGGCAGGCCAGGAAAGTAAAAAATGGACTCTTTTTTAGACCTTGTTGACCTTGTCGGGGGGGGGGGGGAAATACGGGGTGAACATTATCAGGACCACGGCTCCAGCCCAGCCTGTGAAGCATGCACCTTTGGACGCACAGCGCCCACAAAGTGCGCCCAGTCCAAAGCCAAGAGCGCGTGAGGCAGCACTGATTGGTGCATCGCTGCTGCCGCCGCACTCAAATCCACATGAAATTGGCCAACGCGCTCCAGAGCATCATCCACGCCGCAGCAAATTTTCATCGCCTTGGCAAACGCATCAATAACTCGCGTATATGATATCTGCGACTCCGTCTTTGCGATGGCGAAAATAACTTCGTGAAAGCTGGTGGCCCAGTTGTCCTCTCCGCGGTCGCATTTGTCTGCAGACCAAGATTTCGCCAGAAACCCTAAGCATATCAAAATGTGGCCCTCGAACACCACTCGAAAGACTCCGTCGCCAGAGATTCTCAAAAATGTCTTGTTGCACATTCGAGACCACCACAGGCCTCAGCAAGAAAGAAACGCCGATCCGCGCGCCAACCGGTCAACCCGAACTCACAAACCAGAATATATATATATATATATAAATATATATATATAAATATATATATATATATATATTTATACATGATTTGTACACAGTCTACACACAAATGGCAGAAGACGAGGCACGCAGAAGCCGCGGCGAAGTGTATGATATCGTCAACTCGGTGTCAAGACTTCAACTAGACACAGGTCATGCTCGTCCGTGCCGCCGTGCTCTTCCAGCTTCGGAGACGTATCAGCCAGAAGCTCCCAGTCTTCAAGGTTCCAAGAGCCTTGCGATAGCCATTTAGCACCGGCTCTGACCTGGCGCAAGGCCATACGCGGCCACCCGCCCCTCTAGTCTAGTGTACTACTGTATCCATCTCCAGCGATGAGCCTGACAAGGTACTACCGTTGAACACTTTCCAAACTTACCAAATGGAGATAACATCACAAATAACCTTGCACCCTCTCAAACAAACCAATCAATGCCTTGAGTAACAAAAAAAACACCAGCCCGACTCGTCTGAAACTTGCTGCGCTTGCTAATTTGGTGAAAGCCAAACAATCCTGACTCCACGAACGGCCTTTCAGCCTTGAGGGCAAAAAACAACGCGGAAATGAGCAGCAGTTCTGGTTTCTCTGCTGCGACCCAATGGCCGCAACGTTGGTCTTGAACCCGCACAGATCGATGCACCGGTCTGCATGAGCAACCACATATGTGAGGCAATCAGATAGCACAAGATCGAACAAAGCCAGGGAGAAGAGCCGACACCAACTGCGCGCAGCCCGAACTACTGATGGATCGACGCGCGCCTCTTTGTCGCGCTTTCGAATGTTCTTGACAAAGTTCACAACTGCGTCTTCTGCTGGGGTTTTGGGCTGAGTCCGCTTTTTGGCAATCTCCTGCAAACAAGCGGCGGCGGACAAACTGCAACTGTAACAGCTTTACTTCTTACCCAGCTGATGTTAGGCTGTCACAACCAAACACACTCCCAAACCGCTGCAAACGGCTTTGAGCAACACAATAAAAAAACATGGGTGCGGTTGGCCTGGAGAAGCTGCTCAATGCGGAAACTCTGCTTTGCCAAGAGATACTCGGGGATCAATTTCTTCGTGGGTACAGTCAGCCCATGCGCTTCTTTCTGCGAGCGCGTCCTCGGCAATAATTCACACTGAGGATGGCGAACCAACTAGCTGAAACGATAAACATATGCAAGGAAGGCGACCTCCCGAAAGTGCAGCTGCAGTAACTGGCGATGGGAACACACGAAACTGCATTCATGTTAAAATTATCCCGGCAAGAGACCCCAAATAATTAGTATTGGGTTCAATTTGACGACGGGTGGCCCGGAAGCGTCGAAAGACGTTAAATAGACCCTGACACCTCGCCCACTGCAGATGAGAAGCAAGCGTAAATCTACACATCAGTGTCCCTTCGTAGCTTCTGCAAGTTCTGATGAGCAAGCTTGGCATCGCGCTTCGAACAACCTATCCTGTCAACTTCTCTTGTGCGCAACGCTGTGCTTTGACTACTTTGCGTAAAAAAAAAAAAAGCGATTTTCAAGCCAGAGCCGCAGCTGCAGGAATGGACTTCGAGCACTATTTTTGTACTTTAAACTTGCGACGTTGCAGCCGGAGCTCTCTGAAAGCTCTTCGCGCACTATTTTTGTACTTAAAACTTGTGATTTTGTAGCCGGAGCTGCGGGAGTGCGCTTCGCCTTTGGCGCGAGGCTTCATCAAAAACACAGCGCGAACCTCGCACGCACCAGCGCGTACCCACGTCCCTGCCAGCAAAAAATGCATTTTTCAAAACAAAAGCGTTTGGCACGAGGCTTCCTCAAAAAACATAGCGCGAACCTTCCAACTGTTTCCTGCCAGCAAAAAAATGCGAACGGCACCATAACGGGACGCACGCGTCAGCCCGCGCCTCCATTTCGCGCGAGTCAGTCGCGGCGAAGACAACTTTCTGCGCACAGGGCCAGCGATTTGAGCGCGAACCTCGATCTAAGCCGGCCTTAACTCTTACCGTCAGAACCCCTGCGTGTAAACAACATCTGCGGAAAAAACAAGATGCACGCCAGTGCTGCCAAAACTCTTGCTGAAATCTGTATGACAAGATGTGGGCGTGGCCCTGATGGAAAGCGATCTCTGAGATGGGAAATACGATGCCCAGCCGCACCACGTGCACTTACTGCACGTCATACACCAAAACTTCCAGTCCATCGTCCCACTAGATCGCTTCCTCTTGCTCGTGGACACACGCACGTATTGCTCCTCTGTACAAGCAAACGCGGAGATCTTGCTGACCACCTGCTTTTCCGTCCACGGGTCGCCGTCGTGCGCGACCGTGGACTTCACCGTGTAGATGTCTTTTTTGGACTTCACCGTGGACTTCACCGTGGACTTCACCGTCGCAGCGGCTGCGGATGGCCGCTTGAAGGCGGCAGGTCGCTTCATGATGGAGGATCCATGGACAGAGCTATCGCCGAGCTGCGCCCATCACATCTCAGTCGGTTTATTAACCCTGGGTCAACATTAAAGGCATCAGGCAGAATAATTTCCTTCTGGAACCTGTAAAGTCGATGGAGGGGACATCTGGCACCACTGACTGACCACACCGAATCCCATTAGAACACACATGTTCAAGTGTGAAGATTTCCTTCAGATATGGTCCACAGGGCAGCAAGTTATTGGCTTGATTTGAGCCACGGACATGTTGTTTCTCCTCAAAACGACATTTGAACATTGGGTGGACCTCTGGCTAACCGCCGACAAAGAACACGTTCCAAGAAGCATGCACACTTATCACGACACATGTGACCACACATCGAGTCCATTATCATGCCTGTGAGCCCAAAAAACAATGAATGCACAAACGACCCCAGGATTGAATGCACAGACGACACCAGGATTGAATGCACAGACGACCCCGTGACCTTGCTTGGGTGGGGTGATGGTGATGGATTTCCGAAAGGTTGATCCTTGCCTTCACGAAAAACCCAAGGGCAATCTTAGGGAAACCCCACGAGAAGCAGGGTTGGGGTTTCACCCTCCGCAGAAGCGTGCTATGAAACACCCGTTGAACATCGTCTAGACATCCTCCTCTGGCCAGGATCGGCTGTCTCACTTCCGCGGATTGGCCAAAGAAAGTCTGACCTTCCCACTTCCCACACCCAAAAAAAGGCGACGATCAAGTCCACAACCTCCAGGAGTGAGTCCTTGAGTTGTCGGAAAAACCCACCTCGAGCTCCCGGCTTTCGGCCCGGGGTCCGTCCCCTCCGCCCCTTCGCCGAAGGGGCCTCCTGGAAGCAGCACACCACCAGGCCACTGTCAGCTGAGAGCTGCTTCTGCGCCAACAAGCGCTGGAGCCTTCGTTCGACGCGAGACGACCCCACCGCCCAGTTTCGACTCCGCACGCTGCGCCCTCAAAAAGGCTTGGATTGGGATTTTGGAGGCCACATGGTAGCGTTCAAAGACCTCCCTCTGCCCTTGGTGCGCGAATCGCTCCAACCTGCGAAAAGCGCGCCGCTGCCTCGCTGCCTCGCTTTGCACTCGCCCAATCCTACCCTTGCCCAATCGACTCGGATCGCGCGGCTGCTGGTCGTGGAAGCTGCGCCACTTCTTGGCCCGGTGGAAGATCAACTCCGAGGCAAAGGGCACGCCCCAGACGTTCCAAGTCGTGATGCCCAGCAGGCCGGGCTTCGCCGGAGCGGAAGCCATGGCCCAAGAACCAGGGGCGGAGAATGATCCGGTGTGCGTGCTTTTCTTTTCTTTTCTGTTTTTTTTTTTGGAGGGGGGTTAACTGTACACTGTTGTTAAAGCGTAAGTTGTGCGTATTTCTTGGCTGACTCTTGTTGCTTGTGCTTTTCTCTTCCCCCGTGTTTTTTCCGTCCTTCCGGCGTTTTCCCTGCCGTCATGTGCACCTCTGGAAGAAAAACCTGGTTGCCTTTTCGGCCCCCGGTGCCCTCCGCAACCTCCCCTCGGCACGCAAGCTTGCCGCTGCTCACCCCATAGGTTTTTGATTTTTTTCTCCTCGAATGCCTTTTCAGCCGGAGCCAGAGCAGGAGCAAAGGGCAACGACTCATTACCGTGGCTTTTGGCTCTGAAGCTCCGCGATAGGTCGGGACAGCGGGAATGAACCCAAGGGTGCCCGAACAAAGGAAACCGCCAGTTGGATGGCTTCTCTTGAAGTCATTCCATTTCTGCAGGCCACGGCCTGTCGCACCGGCAAGAGAAGGGAATTCTGATGTTGGGCCGTGTTAAGGGATTAGTTTTGGTCACCAACTTCGACACCAAGCACACCTGCGCCCAAGGCGGACCTGACAGTAGCGAGAGGCAAGGGAAAGGTCCCAGGGCTTTTCCTTTTGGATCGAAAGCTCGGTGTACCGCAACAAGTGTGATCTGCCAGTAAAGTCGACCTCTCTGTTGTTCCCGGGGTGCCTGACAAATCTTAAGCGAGGCTGATTTACAAGCAAGCTGTAGAAATATGTAGAAATACCTGGATGAATTACGACCACTCGCCTTGCTGAGAAAGAAAAATGGGACCAGAAAAAAAAAGGGATCTCCATCACAAGCGCAATTTGTCGCGAACCCTCGGTCCAACCCCGTAGCTTGCCGGCCTCCAGTCTGACCTTTGCAAGCCGACACCAAAGCGGGATTCCCATCCGATGACTAGTTGAGCTTGTTTGTCGCTAAGATAATTCTCCTGGTGAACACCTACACCCAAAACCACATCTTCCGACCAACCTGCCAGACTTCGGGACCCCCCTCCATTGGTTTGTTCAGGAACCTGAAAGGGACCCCTGGTTTGGACAAGTTTCATATGGACCCTTCAGGTCCCATCTTTGCTTTTGGGAGGGAAGCAGGTGATACCAAAAGTCAGAAGTGAACTCCAAAAGCAAAGATCCGAAACCTATTTAAACCAAGCATCAGACCTCAAAAGCCCAAAAGCAAAGATCCAAAACCTATACACACCTAGCATCTAACTTCAACCAAAAACGCCAAAAGCAAAGATCCAAGCCAAGACAGAATTGCACCCGTCTTTTCCGCGTGAAGCGTTCCACCCACCCCAGAGACCCGGGGCCGTGGCGGCCCCGGCGGGTGGCGGCCCGCCGGCCCGCCTCTCCTCCGCGGGGTCGTCCCGGACCCAGCGAAAGGCCGCCAGCGCGAAGAAGCGCCGCAGCTGCGCCTTCGCGGCGCGGCCTGGCGAGGGGGGGGGGTGGCTTTAGGACTTGGATCCCTTAGGGGGTCTTTTGGAAAATCCATGGATTTCCCCGGTAGATTGAGCCACCAGGTAAACCAGGAATCGCCCTGCTTAAGCAAACCAGCCAACAAGGACACCTACGGATCCCCGGAAATCGAATTTGCTTGGTGGTTTAGAAGCAACAACCAGAAGGAACACCGCAATTTCAGGATTTGGACGCCCCAGAATTGTGGTGTCAACTTTGGCTTTCCTTTAGAACCAAAAAAAGAAAAGGAGAGGAGACGTCCACATGTTCGAAAGGGCAGCCAAATGCCCCCCGAAGGGCTATTTGGAACGGGTCGTCTTTGGCAAGCGGAAGCCAAAAGGAAACCACCCGGTTAGGTTTGTGGTGAGCTTCACCCTGAAGCGGCTTCCCAGGGCCCACCCAAAAAAGAAAACGAACACTGGAAACGCAAACCACGGGAGATCTGACTTAGAAACCTCCAGATTGCTTCATGCAACGCTGCATCACTTAAACACTGGGTAGCTGTTGGGTTCCATTGCGTGGGTTAATTTTGGGGAGGGAGGGGGAGGGAGCCCCTTATTAAGCCCTAAAAACAGCCCTGAATAAAGCCTTATTTGGGGCTTATTTGGGCTCCCTCCCCCCCCCCTCCCTCCCCCCCAGCCCCATGATTCATGCTTTCTTCGGGAGGCCCAGTCCAGTGCACCTCAAACAGGACCCACCCCCCCTTCCGCTGTGCCATGAATCTGTTGTTGACCCCGGATTCATCAACCCCGGGTTTATTTATTTATATATGGGGGTGTCCCTGGTTTTGGTGGGGAGTCAGATCACTTTTGGAGGGGAACACACCCCTATTAATAAAGTGGGGCAGTGGGGGTTTTTGATCCAAGGTCAACATTACTTTACTTTCACCCGAGTGTAGTAGTTTGGAGATTTACTATTTACATGTGAGCTTGGGATCAATTCGGAGCACCGTACGAATCAGGGGTGGCTCCGTTTTCAATCAAAGCATGATCCATTCTGGAATGTTTCTGACTCGTAGAGTCCAGATTCATCCGAAGTTACATCAGTGGCAACCCTCGTACATCAACGAAAATCAGAGACCAGCTTCAGAGACGCCCCTTACTCGCAAAACAATATTGGGGCATCCTTGGTACTGCTTAGGCAAAGGCACCCCTCGAAATTTTGGCAAAATCAGCTTAGAATGGTACCTGCATGGTACCAGTTATCATGGACCTCCGGTCCCTTATTAACCCCTTAACCAGCCCCATCTTTGGCTTCTCCTAGTCTTATCCAGGGATAGTCCCTCCCCATAATGTTGACCCCATATTAATCAACTCCAGTTTATTAATAGGGTGTTCCCCTCCTTCCCCACTAAACCCAGGGACCACCCCCCCCCCCCCCCGTTTAATCTCCCTAGGGGTGCATGAAGTTTCCGAACCCAAACCTCCAGCCACTCAAGTGGCGCCCTTGGGCCTCCGCCAGCCGAAGTCCCAGACTGCACCGCCACCACCACCGCCTCCAAGGGCCTCGTGACGTGCCGGGCGATGGAGGCCACCGTGCGCTCGCAGTAGCGCCACCTCTCGGGGCTTCGGGGCTTCGGTGGCGGCGCTCCCGCTGATGGCCCATGAGTTGTCCTTTCTTTGGAAAATAGATGGATTTCCCTGGTAGATGGTGCTTTTTTAGCTACTGTGGATGGACGAAATCCTGCACCACTTAAGAAACCCTGGATTGGTGATTCCCCTGCAAATGTCAATAAACAATGGTTTCTAATGGTCTCAAAGTGGTCCATCCACAGTAGGTCCTCCAGTAGAGAGGTTAGAATAAGGGTACCCTGTTTTCCGCAGTCCATTTTAGTAGGGGAACCCTCCCCCAAAAAAGTTCGGTAAAAGGGCACCTAGCTGGGGGACCTAGTTAAGCAAACCAACCAACAAGGAGACCTATGAGACTGGGCCCCAGGAGCTGGACCCATGTGGCGCCCCTCACACCCCCCCGCCTGCCCGCCAGCAGCACCGCCGCCCCCGCAGCGGCTTTGGCCGGAGGATGCTTTGGCCTCACCAGGGCCGCGCGCGTTAGGCGGTCGGAGGAGGCCTTGACCTCACCAACTGCCCTAAATCACATGGAAGGAACTTAGCTTCAGGGGTCCAAGCCCCAAAAGAAGAGTCCGATCCGAAGAATGGCTGGGGTTTGTTGGTGCCCATGTTCATCCATCCAAGCGGCGGACATCTTATGGTCAAAGGCGGGTACTGAGCTTGTGCTCCAGCACTTTGTTGCCACGCGCGACATGCCGCACGCAGGGCATGGGCGTTGCAAATGACAAGTCATGTACAAGGTTTGCACTTGGGCAAACAGGTCACAAAAAAGCAGGGCCCATCCAAATCGACATCTGAGTAGTGAGGATCCGCCCACACGGGCAAGCAGGTGAGGCGAGCAGGGGATCCGCGCCATGGGGACGAAGTCTTGGTTGTCGCGCTCGATGACAACCATTGATACCAGGGGAACCAACAGAGGATGGTTGGATGATTCTTTTCCCAGACCTGTTCATCAGCCGAAGCAAATCCACGAAGCAACGGTTACCTGGCTACCTGAAGACAGGTTCCGAACATCACTGACATTGCCAAGGCCCTTGACAGAGGGATTCTGTGTTTCCAATTTGTGAACCCCAGCCAGGTTGATCAGAGCTCTTGGAGAGTTAAGTACGTGATTTAACCCAGATAGAATGACTTGCCGCTGTTGGAAGTTGGCCATCCAGGTTTCCGTATATGTCAAGGCTCAGTCTCTATGCAGGAGGCTGCGGGCCCGAACCGCCAATGTTCCATCCAACCAACCGACCCTTCTGAGAATGCCAACTTGATGCTTCTGAGCATAGTTTCTTGGACTTCTGGCTTTATTTTGGGAAGGGGCAATGCGATCATGTATGGGTCCCAAAGATCCATCATTCTTCTACGAATCACATTTTGGGACTCCGCCCTTTGCAGGTGTGTCCATCCGAATTTGCAGGCGAGGTCTATAGGAGCAGGGGGGGGAGGCTATCCTAGTCAAACCTTAATCAGGGGCTTATCCCTGGCTTGTCCTTACTCCAGACATAGGCCTGAAGCCTTGCTTGGAGGTCCCAGGTCCAGAGTCCAGACCCCTCCATGACTGCCCTTTGCAGCGGACGTCACGTGACGTGCTCGAATGCTTTGGGAGGACGTCCCTTAGATTGGGATCCATGGAGGGAGCTCAAATTAGCCATGGTCTGTCTGACACCAAAAGGGAAGCCTGCGGCCCCCCGCACAAAAAAAAAAAAAAAAAAAACTGAGCCCTAGGAAAACTCACTTTTAACCAAACGGCCGCATTTTAAAACCACCAACCCCCGCCTCCCTGGCGGAAGCAACGGCGGCAAGGGCTGCTCCAGGACGCTGAAGAACACCGTCCGCCCTTGCGAGCCCAAGGCGGGGTCCTCGAGCCAGCGCTCGCGGGAAGCCGACGACGCGAGCGATTCGCTCGAAACCAAAAGCCCCAGCAACTGAAGATCGCCAAGTCCTGCCAACCAGATCCGAATCCCAAAGCCTTTCCAGCCTTCGGAGCTTTTCTCGTGGGGCTCAGTTTTGGGATCCGGATCTGCATCTTTCAACTCCCGGCACATCGGCGGACTCGGCCCCAAAGCCCCGCAGGACCCGACCAAATTTAAGCGGCGGAAGGGGCTCAGCCGGAAGAGTTGGAGCCTCCGGAGTGGAGTCCCACCGTTGGGTCAACCAGTTTCGGCGCGAGAGCTGGAGGTGGATTGCCTTGCCACAGAGGGGAAGCTGCCAAGCAGAGATCTCAAGCTGGTGAAAATCTGGCGTGGACAATGTTCCAGATGCAGTCCGCGGTGAGGGCTTCCCGACAGATGCATGTCAAAAAGAAACTGCTCCAGGCCGCATGACTATTCCTAGAAACCCCTAAGTGAGCCGTTTGCTCATGGCACATGCCGATCCACAGAAGACATAATGCGGAACACGAGGAGTACCTACCCAGGGACATGCGGTTGGACCCTTGGACAGTTGCCTCGGGACGTGCGGCTTGGATACCAATAGTTGCAACCGAAGCGGGAGACCACCCGCCGTCCCCCCGCCTCCCCCGCGGACGGTAGAGATCTCTTAGGCGAATGACTTGGTCTGGACCACAACTTCTGGGAAATGAATCGATGCTTCACACATGGAGGGAGCAAGCCGTTCAACTTTTTCGCACGAGGATTGAGCCATCCTGAGAACCTTTAAGTTTATCCTGGCCCCCTGGCCCTTTTTTCAAGGGAAATGGCCAGAAGGAGGCTTGCGTGGCTCGTACTGGTCTATCTGGATAGTTTTCATGGTAAAGTAACCTACTTGCCTACTTCTACAACCCAAACCCTCCGCCACAAAAATCAGGAGACCACCCTCAAGCTGATCCCCACATCCTCCCCACATGGGTTTGTCTCAACATAGAGGACTCTCGAAATTGGTGTTCTTCCATGTGTTTCCCTTTAGACCCGTTAAAAAAAGGACATCCTCCAATGTTGGATTCCTTTCAATATTGCATTATGAATATCTTCATGTGAGGAGCGCCGGAAATGATTTTTTCCTCCCCTAAAACAGCGCATCTTCATCCAAACTAAAAATCCAAGAGCACCTGACCGGACCACTCCGAGGTTTTATTTTTGCCCTTGCGAAATATCCAAGAGGACCTGGCCGGACTCTGAGGTTTCACGTCTTCGGCCCTCGGCGGTTTTCGGCGGCCTCGAAGTGCATGGCCCAGATGGGCCAGGGCGGCGCATCCTGGCCCGCGGCCAGCGCCTGGAAGCCTCAATGACTCAAGCAGGCCGCTTGGCGCGGGTTTTGGTTGGGGCAGCCTGGGGGCAGCTTGGAGGCGGTTTTTAGTGGACCACATTTATATGACCCTCCCACCAACGAACATGGAAGTGCACAAACTCCATTTCCAAGAGGAAAGTAGTCTTTCTACAGGGGTCTGTGCACTTCCAGGTTAGTCGGTGGGAGGGTAACTGTTTCGTGTGCAGGCCAGTTGTCACTCACTCACTCACTCACTGACTCACTCACTCACTCACTCACTCACTCACTCACTCACTCACTCACTCACTCACTCACTCACTCACTCACTCACTCACTCACTCACTCACTCACTCACTCACTCACTCACTCACTCACTCACTCACTCACTCACTCACTCACTCACTCACTCACTCACTCACTCACTCACTCACTCACTCACTCACTCACTCACTCACTCACTCACTCACTCACTCACTCACTCACTCACTCACTCACTCACTCACTCACTCACTCACTCACTCACTCACTCACTCACTCACTCACTCACTCACTCACTCACTCACTCACTCACTCACTCACTCACTCACTCACTCACTCGCTTACTCGCTTACTCGCTCACTCGCTCCCTCACTCGCTCGCTGGCTCACTCACTCACTTACTTGCTCACTCACTCACTCACTCACTCACTCAGTCACTCACTCACTCACTCACTCACTCGCTCGCTCGCTCACTCACTCACTCGCTCGCTCACTCACTCACTCACTCACTCACTCGCTCGCTTGATCGCTCGCTCCCTCTCTCTTCTCTCCGCTCTCCGCTCTCCTCTCTCGTGCTATCCTGCAGGCCCCCCAAGAAGGTTGTCTCTTGGCCCAGGAACTCAGACAAAACCAGTCACTCGACTACAAACCCGAGTGGTCCCACTCTCTTGGTCTTGTTTTTGCTTCGCTTTTGGGGGAGGCGTTTCCTTGTTCTTTCTTGCTCAGGAAAATAGTTCGAGCCAGAAACAATGATGGGAATCCCGCGGTCAGGCTCCACAGAGGGCATTCCGCTATATTGAAGGGAACTAGCCCAGTTAAAGTGGACCTCTGTTAATAAAACCCCCACTTGTTCTTAAGGGGCTCCCCTTTTTTAGTGGGGATGTTTTTCTTGCAGGGGAGCCCTCGGTTTTTAGAACTGGGGGGGGGCGTTGGCAAAATCAGGGGTCAACATACCAGGAATCCCCTTTCTGGGTGAATTACAACATTTCACCAACCTGAATTAAGGTGGTTGGGGGGGCGATTCCCCACATAAACCACAATTTGGGGTGAATTCGGTCGTGTGAGGTCGAATTCACAAATCACCATTCCCCACCTAGAATTCTACCGACCTACGACCTCACCCAGACCTTTCCTTCCGCCAGAGCCTCCCGGAAGGAGCTCAAACATGCCCGCCCCAGGCGACTCTAGGTCTAGATTAGATTCACCCAAGGGCGATGTTTAAAACTTCACACACAGGGTAAACATAGAGAGAAACCCGGCAGAAGGGCAAGTTGCGAGACAAGACCGGGATGGTGATGTCGGATAAGCGTTAGCCCACCACTCTTCCCCCCCCCCGACAAACCCGCCACAAATATGCCACAACTACTCCGCGGCGTATGTACCTCAGGAACCTCCTTATGTGGGCCCCTTCTTGTAGGAAACTGGATGGCGCTGGTACATGACGAGAATCCGGAGCAATCTACGATGAAACCGGAAATGGGCGAATCCCAAAATCAGGGACCCACCTCGGTGGCTTCCCTTCCCAGCAGAGTTGGGTGAACCACTATGGCCAACCACAGGCTCGCCCTAAACGCAAAAGCTTTCATGGGTGTAAGCTTTAATTGGGGAACCCCTGGTGGACATCTGTTGAGTTATTCCCCAAGAAAAAAGCCATAGCCGCATTGCTCTTTGCTCACTAACTTCGGGCTTGGTACTCTCAAAATCTAATGAGCCCACTTTTTGCGGCCCGCGGCCCGTGCATCCCTGGCACCACCCACACACCCTCGCCCCCCCACCCACCCCCACCCCCACCCCCACCCCAAGCCAAGGTGCCCACGTTGTGCTGCGCCAGCAACGCATAGCGCGGGGGCAGCAGCACGGTGCCATCCCCGCAGTCTGCGAAGGGGTCCTACCAGGGTCCTACCGTAGCACTTTTGTGAGTCCAACCCATTTTATACAAGTTCAGGGTCCAAAGCCCTATTTTGACAGAGTCTTGAGGGTCCTGATGGTTTTTGGGGAGGGCCTTGTGGCCTGCGTTGGAGGGGTCAGGCACTGTGGGTAACCGAGCGCGTGGCAGGGAGAGTAACAACTCTGTGACCTTTGGAGCCTAAAAAAAAGCCAAAGCACTCCCATCACATGGACTTATCCTTCGGCCTTCTCTATTCACAGGCTAATGTTGACCCCGGATAGATCAACCCTGGTTGATTCATAGAGTGTCCGCTGAATCAGACCACTTTTGGAGAGGATGAATAGGACGAGTTCTAGTTAGACCCGGGTTGGGTGGGGTCGGGGGGCCCAACACAATGAGAGGGGAAAGGAATGGTAGGCCCAAAAGTAGCTAGACTGGGTTTGTTCTTTTAGCATCCTTTTTTGGTTTCCCTTTGGTTTTTCTGTTGGTGTCCCTTGCTTTTTTTTGACTCGGGAATTCAAAGGCCTACATCGTTTGACTGGGTTTGTGGATACTTTTAAACTCAATTCAGTCGTCATTGTAGGAGTAAACTGCTAGTGCTCATTTAGCCCATTACATTCCCGTTATAGGTAACCCCGAAGGAAAGCAGGGCTTTTGCAATCCCATCCAGTTCTCCCATCCATTGCGAAGGAATCCAGTTCCCGGATTGACCCCTTCGGAGGGGAACAAGTCCCAACAGAAGGAACACAAGGAATTGATTGGACTGGGGGGCCTTTCTTCGGGGATCCGTGTTTTTTGCCACTGACCTGGTTTCCGAGCCATTTCCCTCTTAAAGGAGCCTCCAAAAGTGGCCATCGCTTTAAGGGCAAAAAGAAAAACAACACGACCAGCTGGATCAACTTTTGATCTGGGGAAGCCCAGCAGGCATCCGGATGCATTATACACATGAGCATTGCAACTTGTCTATTTGGAGGTGTCCATTTCCTTGTTCTGGTGTTGGAAAAGCCAGCCGTGTTTCAAGCGGTGACGCAAAATGGCAACATCTTTTCAGGAGCCTTGTCCAGCGTGGCTTTCTTGAGGCTCGGTGGCCGGAAGGCAAAGGGGAGGTGAGACCAAAGGAGCTGGCGGTTGGGCTTGCGTGTCTCTTTCGACTTGGTTGCTGCTGCAACGACCCCCCCCTGCAAAAAAGAAGCGTGTTTTCCCCCACTTGTTGGGGGGTTTAGTCGAAAAGTGTCAACTTTTTGGGGGGTTAGTGGAAAAAAGTTGTCAACTTTTTGGGGGGTTAGTGGAAAAAAGTTGTCAACTTTTTGGGGGGTTAGTACGGAAAACCCAACTTGATTTCCACCAACAAGTGGAAAAGTCCAAAGATCCGTTGAATAGCAGTACAGGCGAGGGCAACCGGTTTCAGGTTGGCGCTCTCCGATGCCCCCAACAGCAACCTCCTGTGCACACTTCCGGTCCAAACCACTGCGGAGCCTATCTGGGCAGAGGCACCAAAGCTTTCACAAACGTCTGGCTTTGGGCAAACCAACCCGCTCCGAAATCAACCCCCTCCCAACTACACTCCCACCAACATGGAAGTGTACACACAGGCCTCACACAGGCCCTACTTCCGGAAAAGCCTCACAAATCACCAACAGTCACCAGGCTGCAATGCCTCCTTCGCGAGTCGGCTCTCAATCACGCTTGGAACTTGTGCCGACTCAGAAGGGATTAAAAAGAAGAAGAAGAAGAAGAAGACAAACATGTCAGCGCCACACACGTGGAACACAAAAAAACCCATCGCTCCAAAAAATCGGTTCCATCGAGCCCATTGCTTCGGCTCCATCGATCCGGATCCCTTCGGATCTCCTCCCGGAAGGCGGCGATCCCTTCCAGGCTGCCGCTGCGCAGATACCTCGGGAGGTTTTGGGATGGCACCGGGGAAGCAGAAAAAAACAACTTGGGCGGTGAGTGCAAAAACAAAGGGGGCCCCAAAAAATGTAAAAAAATAAATAAATAAATAAATAAATAAATAGGGGATCTAATTCTGGGGAAGTTGGGAAACAAAACAAAAATGGGCACCATCCATTAAAGAGGCACACCCAAATGGCCACCCAGCCCCCCCCACTACCACTAAACAGGCCCAGCACTTGGCGCTGGTTGCCACCCCAATCACGTAACTGCCTGCTGAGATATGTGTGAAGCACGGAAGGCAGCTTAAGCTTTCCACAAAAAATGAACAGTGAATCACACAGCCCAGCACGCGCAATCAATGCGAACAATAATTACACTCCTGCGGCATCACATGAAACTGCGCAAATGACTAAAAGTATTAACTCCCAGACTGGACGTAGAGGAAGCCACAAGGACCTTCATGGATGGGCACGTTCGCGTTGAGCTGATACTTATCCAGATTCTTCTTGGAAAGGGCCATAGACTTTGTGTGGGCTACCCGCTCATTCCGACAACCATGAATGAAATACACTTGGTTGCTGCTGTTGACCCCCCTGCAAAAAAAAAGTGGTCAACGTTTTGGGGGTTTAGTACGGAAAGCCCAACTTGATTTCAACCAAGAAGTGAAAAAGTCTCTAAAGATCCGTTGCCCAACAGCAGTCAAGCACAAGGCCCGCTTTTTGGACGTGACCGGAGCCAGCAGCCGAGCCAGAGCTAAACCCAAGGAACATGCTGTCTTGAAGAACCCAAACGCTCTGCCGGAAACCTTCACCCAAACGCCAAACGCTGGCCCATCAACGGACAAACTAGGGACCGCTAGAACAGGGAAGGGGGAAAAAAGATTAGAATGAGCATGATTTTGAGCATCCCTGAAATAATGAAGGCCAGAAACTGGGCCCTTTCAGCTACCACTTGGGGGAAACTGGGCCCTTTCAGCTACCACTTGGGGGGGTGACATCGACAACGGGACTTGCTGTTGACCCCTCTGCAAAAAGTTCTTCACTTGTTGTGGGTCCAAGTCGGAAAATCCGACCCGTTTCAACCAAAAAGCTGTCCAGTCCAACATCCACCGCTTCGAATCCAAATCCAAACCACAAATCCAAACCACCAAGATTTTGGGTGGCCTGACATGCTCAACCAAAAGGGAGCCAAAACAAAAACACATAAAGGATGTGCGGTTTGGAATTTGCGCCAACCAAAAAGGAAGCCAAGGAAAAAAAGACCAAGAAAAGAAGCAGAAAACAGTAAAAGAAAAGAAAAAGAAAAAGACAAAAACAAAACAAAAAAACGGTCAATGGAATGCCCCCCGCCCCCCCGACTCCGAGCTGCATCGCCGCCAGCCAGGCCGCCGCCAGGTGGTGGCTGCACACCTTGGGCACGCAGAGGGCCATGGCGTGGCGGGTGTCGCCCAGCGAAGCGGCGCCCAGGATGATGCCGTTCATCTGCAGCACCCAGTACCTCTTCTAGGTCTTCCAGTAGAAAGGTTCGTCTATTTTAGTAAAAGAACCCTCCCCCCCCCCAAAAAAAAAAAGGTAAATGGGCACTACTGGACCTCACGTAGAAAGGAACCCCACAAATACCTACCTCTTTCAAAAGGAACCCTGAGACGTCACCCCACATGGCAAAACTCTTGGAAGCTTTCAGACTCTGCAGCACCCAGTACCTCTATAAACTCAAAAGGCTTGGTTCTTCAGCACGCGGGGGGCTGAAAAAGACCCAACCCCGCAGTACATCACTCAAAAGGGAGATTTAAAAAAAAAACATAGATGTCCATGATTCTCGGTCTGCTTGATTGATAGTCGGGGTAGAATCATAATGCATGATGACTTTGGCAGAGTTGGTTCTTCAGCACGAAGGGTGCTTAAAACGACCCTACCTGCTCTTCACAACAACGGCTTTGCTTAGGTCACCAGGGCCAAACTCTGGAAGCTTTCCAATGGACCAGAGGCGGTTTTGAAGCATGACCTCACAAAAAGGGTTCTTCAGCAAGAAGGGTGCTTCAAACGTTTTCACCGCTCACTTCAAAGCTGCTGCCCGGCCAGTAACCCATTCGCCCGTTAAAACGGGCGAGGGATGCCCAAGGCTGAAGAGCCCACTAAACCCACCTTTTCGGGCAGCAAAACAGGGCTCGCGAGACTCCGCATCCTACAAACTCTGAGGCCAGCTGATATAGTTTATGCTCAAACATCCGGTCCAGGGATGCCCTCCATCGCATTTGCATGTGACTGTGACAAAATATGTTTGTAGGTGGCAGCCAATTGCAGGTGTAAGTGTACTGCAAAAAGTTCACACCACACGAGTCATGAATTATGTTCCCTCTTGAATTCCAGGCGGAAAACAAAAGAATTCCCGGTGACTGGTCGGAGGCAACCCACCTCGGTGTTCAAGCCACTTGGAAAAAGGGGGGCTCAGAGTATGGACGCTCCAGGTGGCCCAGGTTGCCTGACGTGGGCGAGGATCCAAGTATGTTTACACCACTTGCCGCTAGTTTCTCCAAAGGAAGGTTCTAAGGGTAGCTTCCCCCTTCTTTCCAGGGATCCTTCTTTCCAGAAAACCACCCAAGACCCTGGGCAAAACCAGCGATCCGGTTCTTGAAAAGAAAACGATGGCCGAAAAGGAATGGACAAGGAATCAACCCCTAGAATTTCTTTGGGGGGGGTGGGGAGGAATTCCAACCCAAATGGCCTTCCCCCAGCCCAAATGGACCAGGAAACCCCCAGAAAAAGTTCGCCGAAACTCCGAGACTCGAAGCCCGGGGAGCCACAGGCAAGCTCTTCATGGGACGCTCCGGTTGAGGCGGGCTCCCGCTGCTCCCGCTCTGAATCAGTTGGCGAAATTTGGGTTTCTTAGAGCCGGGGAACCCCCAGAAATGGCTGGGGTTTTTTTGTGGCTCCCCCCCTCAAACCGCCCGAAAAAGAAGGCCTCCAGGTAGGAAATGTGCTTTTGGCTCCCCCTTCAAACCGGAACAAAGATACCCATGGCTTCCTTACAAAAACCCCGCATTTGGTTTCCCCTGAAAACCACCAAGAAGAAGGGAGAGGTTCCATTTTTTCGGTAGGAGAAGGCGAGCCGCTCAAACGCCCCCTCGGCTTGACAAACCTTTCTCCGAGGCGCAGGCGGGAAACGGAGCGCGATGCGCAGAAGCGCATGAAGTCTAGCACCACCACGCGGGCGTCTCCCTGGTTGATGCCTCCACAACCCCCCCTCAAAAAAAAAACGAAGCCCCAGGCGGGGGAGGAGGGGGGTGGAAGGGAAAAAGCGGGGGAAGGGGGGTGGCTCGGAAACCCTAAGGCGTTTCATCAAGTCATCCTTGGTTGGGGGTTTGGATTTGGATTTGAAGCCCCGGTTTTGGTGGAGGGTAAATGAAAAAGCACCCACCCCGTAACCATCGCCAAACCACCGGGCTCCAACCCAACCAGAGGGAAGCTGATATGAGGTTGCTGGTCTCAGCCCAAGACCCAAGAAACGAACCGCCAACTGTTTGTACCACTAAGAATTGGCCAAAGGAGGCGGTTACCACACGCCTGCCCAACAAACCGAAAGATCCAAAGCCGGCCCGCCCCTAACTCTCATCCCCGGTTTCGCCCCTTCGCCCGTTCATATAATGCCTTGCTTTGGGGAGACAGGTGATGAGCCCCTTTTAGGACCCCCCCCCCCAAGCACAAAGCGCTTAGGGCGTTGCACCCACACGGGGCCCTTGGGGAGGCAACCTCAGGTCGGCACGCCGGTCCGCCTCCCAAAGTCTCCGTGGCATCCACAGCTATGGGCGCTGAGGCGCGAGCCTTGAGCGGGAAGAGAAAAGCAAAACCAACCGTCTTTCTTGGCTGGAAATAGGACCACAGCAATAAAGTACATTTTTCGCCTGGTTAGTGGCAACCAATGGGGACCCCAAAAAAGCAACAAAAACAAAAGGGGAACTAATTCCGGGGAAGCTTTGGGGGGAAGAGGGGGGGTCTGATTCCTGGTTTGAGACAAACCCATTTGGGCGTTTTGGCTTATCCTGGCTGCTTGGCATCTCCTGTCTTTGGTTGAAGGCCTAAATGGAATTCACCGGCTTCTACCGCAGCATATACCCTGGCTATTTTGCATCGACCCCTGCTTGGCAAGCTAACATGTTTTGCCCTGATTTAGAAAAAGGACCCCCCAACACCAGCTTTGGGACCCCTGCACTCACCCCCGCCCGATCGATCGCTCGGGCCCCGGGGCCGCCGATTCGCCGAGTCGCCTCGCGCAGGCAGCGCGCGGCCACATGGCCCCAGGGCACGCGGAACTGCGCCGCGGAGGACCGGCAGCTGGCGCCTCGGCTCGGAGCCAACAGAAGCGGGGTGGGTGGGGTGGGTCTGGGGCTGGGGTTGGGGTTGGGGTTGGCAATACGATCACGAGTTGGCAAGCGGTTTTTTTCGGACTGGCGCAGCTCGGCGCGGAGTTTGTCCGTCAGGGTTTTGGTAGAAGGATGCATCCAAGAACAACCTGCTTCGCCAGGACTTGGAATCCTCATTACCCGGGAGTTGCCGGATTCTGCCCCTCCACTGGCCCAATCCCCCAATTTGAACCACTCAGCCGGTGCTTGGGGAGATGTTGGGGGGGATTTGGTCCATCCACCTGCACTCCTGTACCCCCAGTGAACATCCCAACCCCCACTAAAACAAACCAAAAGTGGGTGGTGAGTTCACCTACCCCGAACTGGGATCGATCCCAAACCGGGTTTTTCCGCCTTTCATGGGATCCACGTGGGATCCCCGAGTCCATCCAAGGCGCACTCGGAGCTCAGGGGCTGCGAGGGCACGGGCTGCGACAAGTTCAGCCGCCAGGCCTTGCCGCAATCCGAAGCCATGCCGCAGGCCACCCAAGGCCCCAAGGAAGGCCTAGCGGGTCTTCAAAACGACCTTGTTCGTTTCGCAACCAGCCATTTTCCCCGGGTGCCTGGAGGTTTTCTGGAAAGAAGAATCCATGGAAAGAATGGGAGAGGTAATCCTAGCAGGGTTTCTGAGCCGGTTCCCCCTCTCTGGAACCACCAGTGAGTTGCAACTTTGAAGGGCCAAGGGTCAGAAACCGCTCCCTTTCAACGACCAAACCGAAAGAATCTGAGAAAGCGTACCCTCACCTCCCGAGTGGATTGGCCAAGCAAAGTCTGAACTTGTCGCTTACCACCAGAATTGTCTTCCCAAAAAATACACAAAGTTGTTTTTTGTTTTAAAGAAGCTCGGGAAGTGAGTTACCGTTTGCTTCTACCCCATGGTCATATTTCCGGAGCCAAAGGAGGAACTCTTGGCCCTGACCCAAAAAAGCAGAAAAGCTGCCGGGCGGACAGGCCGCGCCTTGTTTTCCCATCGCAGAACCGGAGTCAGGTGGTTGTGTGGGGTGAGCCGAAAGGTTTTCTGGTTTCAGTCAACTTGAGTTTGTGGCTCTAGCTTTTGTGTATGGCCGCGGATTTTGATGGGGGACCCTTTGGTGGACATGATGTAGGTGGGGATTCATGTCCACCAACCACTTTTGAGGTGGTTTCCTATTCAAATTCATAGCCGTATAGTCAGCAGGTGAACATTTTGAGGAATGCACAAAATTGCTTCTAGTGATGGGATGTGTCTTTCCGCCACCGCTCGAAGAGTCATTTTGGGAGCAGCCCTTTTCGCACGTGTCACCCTCCAAGCGGCAGATTTGAAGGAAACCAGCCCCACGTCAGGCGTTAGGACTCTTTTGTCTACTATTGGAAAGCATCCAAGAGGATTTTCCGGCAACGAGCACTGAAGCAAACAGTAGAAAGTACGTTCAACTGGCCCAACTCCACTCATGACTATAGAAACACCAGCCAGTCACGAAAAGTCTGCATGAAACCCTTCGCTCCCGGCACACCACGAAGAAGCCCAGCCCATGTTGGCTCCGAATCCCTATTTCGACGCACACCCAAATGAGCATGCTGACGTTTAGTTCCACCAACATGTTGTTTGGTATCTCTCTCTATCTCAATCCATCTCTATCCATTTCCATATATATATATATAACTAAACATATCATACTATATTTGCATATAGATAATATATATATATATATAAAAATACATATACATATATATATGTAATACATATATATATATATATATGTATGTATGTATGTATGTATGTATGTATGTATGTATGTATGTATGTATGTATGTATGTATGTATGTATGTATGTATGTATGTATGTATGTATGTATGTATGTATGTATGTATGTATGTATGTATGTATGTATGTATGTATGTATGTATGTATGTATGTATGTATGTATGTATGTATGTATGTATGTATGTATGTATGTATGTATGTATGTGTGTGTGTGTGTGTATGTTTAACCCTTACTATAAACGAACATGCTACCATGTGGGAAGCCGACCTAAAACCGGGCACTCACAGACCTCCCGGAGGGCTTAGGTCTTGAGCCCGGGCTGCGAATTTGGCCGGCGGAGTGAGGCGAGTCCAACCCGAAACCAGCCCCACGACCCACCAGCCCCTCCCCCGGGGAAGGCCCCTTTTCCGGAGACAGGGGTCCTTACATTAATTAAACACCTGAACATTGCAACTTGTAAATGGCGGGTTCCAACTTTATTTCGGTGTTGAAACAGCCACATGATTCAAATGGTTGCAAAATGTATCTTTTGAGGAGCCCTGGTCGGAAACCGCAAGGGGGAAATGAAGCCAAATGGACCATACGGATGCCACAAACTGCCTTCGGCCCTTTCTCTGGCTGGTTCTCAAGAGGGGCTTTGGGAATAAATGTGAGATACCCTATGATAGGGATGGCTTGTAGAGGTGTTTCTCTTGTTTCTCTCACCTACCTGGGAGCCAGCAAGATGCTGCAGCATTGAAAGAACGAGGAAACTTGGAAGACTGGCAGAAGGCCTTCTATGCTAAGGTTCTACCTTGGATGACCCAAAGGTAGACAAAACCCGGGGTGATTGACTTCCTTAAAAGGGAAACCCCTGGTTTTTTGGCCAGCCTTGATGTACAACCATTTCAACTACTGCTGAAAAAGGGTGGCGCGCGCGCGCCCCATCGGAATGATATTCGCCTTGCGTCTCACGGGTCTCTCCATTCCAGCCAGGGAGAGGGTGGGGTTCTAATGTCGACCCCAAATTAATACACCCCCGCTTATTAATATGGGGGTGTTCCCCCCCAAAAGTGATAAATCCCCACTAAAACCGGAGCCTTGATCAACATTATGCAACTTCCCCCCCAGTTGCCCAGTGACCCTTGCAGAGAAAGGGAGCCCGACTTCTTGTGCATTGCGCATTTCCGAGTAGGAGGACGAACCCCAACAGGATGGGGTTTGAAGGTTGGACAAACACGAAAAGAGTTACCCACCCCCTTTGGGTTTCCCTTTGGGTAAACCTAAAGCAATGGCCGATTTAGCACGCCGCTGAGACCAAGCTCCCACTTCCCTCGATGACGTTCGTCAGGGCTGCCGCACGTCACGGGTCCAAGTCGTGGATCATAAACGACACCGACGGTCGCTGGGACTCGCCTCAGGTCGCGGGAGCTGGGCGGGTTTGATCTGCCAGTGGGAGTTTTGAGGGCCTTGGTGGGACAACATGTCTTGTTGGTGTCTTGTGCTGCCTTTTTCAGGTAGTTTCCACAGAAATGGAAGAGGTCGGACTTTGACAGTAAAACAGGTTTTGCTTACAAGATAGTCTTCGCACATACAGGGGGGTGGAGTTTGGCTTTTCGGCTCAAAAGGCGACCAGAGGCGGGCGAACCCTGTTTCGGTTGACAATTTTTGGCGTGACATCCACCAAGCGACCAAAGAAAAAAAGACTTTGAGGGCACCAATGACAACCTGGAATGGCTATGTCAAAAGTAGCACTGCTTGAAGGGAACGAGCATGAATCCAACCCTGCGCCAGGGTCCGTTGCACAAACGGTAGAGACCCCCGATCCTGACTTACACCGCTTCACTTCAGGTGATACCTCCCCCCAGCAATAGAAAAGGAACAAAAAAGTGACAGAATACTGGGCTGTCCTCAGATCCCCTGCTCAAAGTTCACCTTTTCGCGGATTAGATGGACCCACCCAATCACTAGACCCACAAGCCTAAAAAGCCAAGGAACCGGATGGAACGGAGCCGAATTCCTCCCCGAAAGCGCCTCGTCGCTTCCTTCCGCGTTAAACGGGGCCCAAAGCCACACGCCTCGCGGCCGGTCCCCCGGCTCCCCTCGCGCCAAGCGTCGGCCCGGTGGGCCCAGCTTCGGCGTCGCAGCCTCCGGGTCCAGGGAGTCCCTGAGCGAGGCGTCGAACGAGGCGCGTCTCGCGCGGGTCTGATTTGAGGGCGCCCTTCGGTGGGGGTGGTGAAAAGGGATACCAAAAAAAACACAAATTTGAGGTCTTCCTCTTGGCTATCTTTCAAGCAAGCAAGCAAGCAAGCAAGCAAGCAAGCAAGCAAACACGCAAACACTCAAACACGCACAAAACAAACAAACAAACAAACAAACAAACAAACAAACAAAACAAAACAAACAAACAAAAAAAAAAAAAACAGCAAAACAAAGAAACAAGAACACCAAACCAAATTCAACCAAAGAACAACAAGCCAAAGCCCTAGGTAAGCAGGTAGTGAACAAGACACGGTTTACCCTCCCTCATGCACGAAATCTGAGTGGGGGGTCTCTAGTTTTGACAAGTTGCCTCTAGGCACCATCTGATAAATTCCATGTCAGCTGGAGAGTACCGTCCCCAAAACATGGACCCCTCCGTCTCAAAATAAACAGAAACGCAAAGCACTAAAACGAAAAAGACAAAGAAAGGAAGGAAGACAGAGAGAAGAAAGAAAGGAGAGAAGAAAGAAAAAGAACAAAGAAAGAAAGAGAAGAAAGCAAGCAAGAAGAGAGCAGACAGAGACTCGAACGGGACCATCTCTCTCGAAGCCGCCTGGCAAACTCCTCGAGGCTGATGTCCTCCCCCTGGTCCTGCGGATCAGCTCCGTTCGGCTCGGGTCCGAGGCGGCGCTTCGGAAGCCACGGCAAACGGAAAATCGAACCCCAAGCGAACGGAAAATCAGGCGCGTAGGTCTTCAGCCCCCTACGGGGGGTTGCTCAAAATAAATCCCCTCCCACCAAGGAAAGGGAATTCCTGGCTTGGACCAGGTTCGTGAAAAAAGGGACCGCAGCCTGAAGGTGAGGGTCCATGCTTGGGGCATCCCCCGTACTGTGGATGGACGAAACGCTGCACCGCCCAAGACACCTTGGAATGATTCGGA